GGGGGGGGCACGGGGCGCTCAATGGGCGCTTTGTCTGCGCCGGCACGGGGGTGGATAAGGGCCCGCGCCCCCGGGGGGGTGCAGAGGACGGGCACAGCTCAGTGCAGCGCGGGAAGGGCGCGGGGAGGAGGGAGCGGGGGGCTATAGCAGCAGCAGACCCCCGCCTGCCCCCCCCCTCTCCTGAGGCCGGAGCTATTTCCATGGGAAGGGGCTATAAAAAGGCCTCAGCTGTGGGGGGCGCGGCCGCAGCCCCGACGCCGCGGGGATGGGACCCCCACAGCCGGCGCTGGGGGTCCCGAGGTGGGCGCAGGGCTGCGGAGCTGCGGGGACCACGCGGTGCTTTGGAGGCGTCCCCCCCGCGGGACCCCCCGTGCACCTGCCCGGGACGGGGGGGGAGGAGGGGGCGGAGGCAGCTCGGCGTTATCAGCGCGCTGAGCCCGACGGCAGCTCCGGAACGCCGCTATCTGAGCGCCCCGACGGCCCCTCGGCCAGGAATAGCGCGGCGGGAGGGGCCGAAGGAACGAAACGGAACGAAGGGGGGGGAGGCCGACCTTCCGCCCCCGACCCCGCGGGCGGCACAAAGGGGGCTGTGTGCGTGGGGCCGCGCTCCGGCCCCGAACAAAGCGGCTCTGAGTTGGGACCGGGGGGGAAACGCTGGGATTTGGGGGGAGAGGGAGAGGGTCGGAGAGGCGCTGCGGCCATCGGTGGGTGCAGGGGAGGGGGGTGGGGGAACCCCCAGAACCACGGAACCCCCAAAAAACACCCCGCGGTTTCGGTGCTCTCGCGGTCCTCGCGTCCCCCCGACGTCGCGCCCACCCGCGCCGCGCCCGCAGCACATGGCCGCAGCCGCAGCCCCTCCCGCTGCGCTCCCGCACGTTCGCCGCACCGCGCCCGGCCCCACCCCCGCGCTCTGCCCTCGATGTTTTCCTTTTGGGGTTGAAAAACAACACCCGGGTTCTGCCCGTCCTTCCGGGAACCGCGTCCCTTCTACCCGTTCCCCGGTGCGGCGCCGGGGGGTCCCGGTAGGACTCCGGTCGCCTCCTCCCGCCCGATTCCCGGCGCGGCCCGAAATATCCGCGGAGCTGCGGGGGCTGCAGGTGCCGCACGGGGGGGGAGGGGGAAGGCGGGTTTCGGCCGAGGAAGGGGTGCGGGGGACCCGAAGGGTTTCACCGGGAGCGGACCCCCCTCAGCCCCCGGCGCGGGGTTTTTTCCGGGGTCGCGGCGTTGAAAATCGGGCGCGGGGACCGGGAACTTCCGAGGGTCCGTCCGCGCGTCCCGGGACTCCCCAACGGCGCAGAGCCCCCAGTTCCCGGGAATCCCGAGCTCTGCCGCTGCCCGCACCGCTCCCGCGCCCCGCACAACCCGTCGCGGTGCGGTTCCCGCTCCCGGTGCGGCGCTCACCTGCCTGACCGGAGCCCGGCGCGGGGCTGAGGAGCAGCAGCGGGAGAACGGCGCACAGCAGCGCGCCGGGCCGGGGCATCCTCGGCGCCTCTCCGAGCGGCGCCCGGCGGTTGCGGCGTGCCCGGGCGAGGCGGGGGGAATGCACCTGGCGCGGGGCCGCCGGGGCGGGACGGGCTGGGCCGGGTGGGGCGGGGCGGAGGCGGCCCCAGAGCCGCGGGACGGCGGCAACCGGGGACCCCGCGCGGCACCCGGAACCCTCCGGCGGGGTCGGGTCCTTCCGCAGCCCCTCACCGCGTGGGGAAGTCGGGATCCCGCAGCCCTGCCCCGAAGGAGGGGAGGTGGGGGGGGGCCCAGGTTGCTGCTCCCCCCGCCCCGCGCTGAGCTGCATCCAGGGCGCGTCCCCATCCGCGGCACGCAGCGCTCCTGCCCACAGACCCCGCCCCCTCCCCGCAGCGCCTCGCTCACCTGCACGCAGCGCTGCGGAGTCCCCGCGCCGCCGCGCCCCCCCCCCCCCCGGCAGGTGACACCGTGCAGACAGGACAGCGTCCCACTGGGGCTCCCGGTGGGGCACGGCCCCCCCCCGCCCTCCAGCCATCGCTGCGGAGGGGGGAAAAGGGCACTGCTCCCCTCGGTGAGGGGGTGGGAACCCCCCAGAACTGCCCAGGGAACCCTACAAACACCCACATGGAGGCCCAAGCGACCCCCCTCTGCACCCCCCCCATGAACATGCAGGCACAGAGCCAGGTTTGGTCTCAAGTCCTTTATTCAGACTGAACTCAGGGACATTTTCAGCCCAGGGACGTTTCCAGATGTCTTCTCCTTACATGGGCTTGGGGGGAGGCCGGGGGGCTGCGCCCTGCAACACAAAAGCAGAAGGTCAGCGAGATGCAGGGGGGGAGGAAGACAGATCCCAACCCTCCCCGTGATCCCCCCCACCCAAAACGTACCGCTGGCCTGAAGCGGGGCGGGGGGGTCCGGTCCTTGCGGGCCTCCCGTGAGCGGTTCCTCACCACCTTACTGTGGATGGCACAGCTGACGCAGTAGTGCAGCTTGACGTACAGCTTGGGCAGGACATAGGCTGGAAAAAAGGGGGAGGGCAAAGAGGGGTGAGCCCCCAGCCTGTGTACGGCCCTGTGGGCAGGACAGCATCCCCCATACAGGGGACAACAGGGCCGCAGTGCCCCATTACCCACTGCTCCCCCATGGGAATGCAGCACCGCACAGCCGTCAATGCAGCCCCACTCCCTCAGGGCTTAGACGTGTTAGAGGAGAGGGGAAGGAACCGCGGCCCAGAGCCCCCCC